ATCATAAAATATACTGTGACTAAAAGCTGTTAGGATGAAGAGAAAGGGAGGAAAAGACACTCTTGGAAGGGAGAAGAACTTTTAATTCAAGTTCGGACAACTGTAGGAAAAAAACACAACCTCGAACGTGTTTTTTTTTAATACAAAGTTCTGCTTAAGGTAGTCTTATCGCAACGACTTCAGCTATACTGTAGAAGACGTAGATGAAATATGCGTCACAATGACATAGTGGTATGGTATATGACCCTGGAAGCGATGTTAGCGTCAATGCGACGTCCTACATCTATCAAGTGTGATAGAATTGAACTTTGCATGCATTCGATTCCCACTCCAAACCCTTCCCTATTGAGCCAAGCTGGTAGATGTTTTCCAATCTGTAGACTGATCTGCTTAATCGTACCACTGTATAATTTGAATCACAAGGACAGCTAAAATGGTATTTGCAAGAGAAGGGAGAGCGTCGGTGGCCTAGCGGTTAGGACGCTCGCTGACCATGCACATGGTCCGGGGTTCGATCCCATGCCGAAGCACACCTGATATCAATGGTCGGCCTGCAAAATTTGGTCTACCGATATCAAATGCTGAAAATTCCATACTTCTACCAAAAATACGGTGTGGAATCAAGCGATAATCAAAATCAAATCAAATCAAAAATTTCCAATTCACGTTTGCAACTGTTATAACTTATGTTGGCGCCTTTATAAACTCCTCTTGATATCCGTTTTAGCTTAGAGTGTCCTCAATGTTATGGAGTTTTATCTTCAAACAGTCTTCTGAGCAAATCAACCTTTCTGTAAATGCTAAGCACCTGATCAGATTACCTTTGTATTCCATTGGTACGAAGCTAAGGACATTGGTATACTGGGCTATAGTCTTTAGCTTTATAAATATGGCTCTTTTGAGGGACTCCATCTTCTCTTCTCAATAGGAGGATGTCGAGAAAGGGGCAAAAAGTCATTATTTTCTCCTTCATAAGTGAAATGGATTGCACTATAGAAGGGGTTCAAAATCAAGTCATTACATAGACCTTTACAATAGACTACCAAAATGTCATCCAGGTAACGGTGTGTCCAGGGCTATAAGTGAGACATGGCAGCCATTGAAAGTGGAAGACATGAATAGGCCAGCTAGCTGTCTTTGATCATAGGTGTCTGCGTTCTATCTCCCGTGTGAAGTGGTATAATAGGGTAAGCAATATTGAGGTTAGGCACTGGTGATCGAGTGCTAGGTAGGTGGAAGGGGAAATCAGTCGACGAGGCTATGGAGCTACATAGGCTGAAATGGTTAAGCCAGGTGTTCCGCATCTCTAGCTATCGCCTTCCTCGACTGACGAGCAATGTTAGCTGATATAGGATCAGGTTGGAAAACAGTAAGTGGTGGTCAAACCAAAACACGGCATCAATAAATGAAATCCACAACAGTTAGTTTAAGCCAGCCAACCAGTCACGTAGGAAGGTGTAGACAGCCTGACTGACTGGTTGGGGTCCTCGGGATGGTAAGAACCAGACTGCTGGAGACAATCGGTGATATGGCTCAAAATCCTCGTTCTCAATGACTGGCGCATATGTATTCACTCCTTGTGACTTATAATATGCAATAAAACTATATTGTTCTTCGATATTGCTATTCTTTTTTTATTTCCCTGTTTACTGCCTCTATTTGCATTCCCTTTTACTTTCTTCTCTTGTTTTGTGTGCTAGATAATATACATATGTGATAAAAATGAATTATACAGGATACATGTCTCTAATATGCTACAAAAACTGGTCCCAGTTTCGCATAGGAGTGGTTATAGACATATTAAACCAATGTCGATACAAAAACTCATCTAAATGGCTATATACCATATCATTTCGGGAACCGTTTACCGTTCTGATACGTTTTTTGAGGTGAGCCATGAATCCTTCAATGGAATTTGTATGTGTTCCTGTTACAGGATCCACTAATTCAGAAGAATGGTTGACTTTGTGGTGAATACAGGCTAGTGATGATAAATGAGAATAACCTCTCGATTCGTCTGCGTGAATGGTAGTTCCTGAGAGGACTAATCGTTGTATAATTGGTATTAGGATATCAGAACTTCCGTTCGTGACGCCTTCTACAAACCTTTTACGAAGATTTGTGTCGTAGAGTCCCAGCATTCCTGTCACAATTCATTTTTCGCTTAATAAGTACAATTTCGTCAATATGCACGACGATGTCGACTCCCCCACGTACAGAGCAGAGGTGATTCCGTTTAACTTTTGTGACGCAATGTCACGGCAGTACTGATACCAATGCACTGTTGAAATCTTTATATTCTCCGTTCCTGCAGCTGTAGCAGATACTGGTTGCTTTAGTAGCCAGTTGTGGCATATATGCAATATTTTACTAAGGGACAGTTTCGATTTCGAGAAGTATCTAAGAAATCACCAACTCGCACCGACTTCCTCACTTAACAGTGGTTGCATCTGAATGCGTAGCCATCAATAGCTCGGCAATACTTATCTAGTGTTATTAACCCTCCACATATGCAGGTTTTAGACCTCCCTATCAACCCATTTTCCACACAGTGGAAGTCAAAAAAACCTGCAACGAAGATTATGAATAGCATCTATTATGAATGATGAACGGTTTGATTGGCCGGTTCAAGGTCACTTGACTTTGGTGTTTATTGTTTACTCTTGCATAAAATGAGGTCTCAGTTTTCCATGGGAATGGCTATAGCAGATAAACCAAAGTATCCCAGTCATAGATCCACTAATTCTGATGAACGATTGTCTTTATAATAATTATAGCCTAATAATGATAGCTTCACTGTTCAGCATTTCAAATATATGCTGCCCATAATTATCGTAGCAAGTTTTACTCTAACCCTAACCTTACCTTAAGCCTATCTTAACACTGAATCAGAGTGAAACTTGCAACAAAGATTTAAATCGAATGAATGAAGTTCAGAGTAGCACGTCATGTATGTCTGTAGAAGAGGAAGATAATTATTTATCTTTCCTAGATATATTGCTTAGTCGACGACTTGATGGATCAATAAAACGATCTATTTATAGAAAACCTACCTGGACAGGACAGTATCTTAATTATCACAGTTTCTGTTCTGTTCGGTACAAAAGAGCCTTAGTCAGCTAGGTGAGGCTTCAGTAGAATCCAACGAATATGCACTGAAGACCGACACACTTGATGATGATGAAGAAAGAAAGTTGACACAAACTCTGGTTGATAATAATTATCCAAACAAGTTCATCAGGAGATATAAAGTAGTCAGAACACGAAGACATGCTCCCCAACTCGTCCCTAAGAAAGACGTGTACATTAAGCTATCCTATATGGGGGATCATAGCAGCTTGATAACTAGACAAAGAGTGAACACTGCTGCTGTTAAAAAGACTTTTTATGCAGCTAATATCATAATAATTGAGAATGTGAAGTCAATATATCTATCTAAGCCCTTTGAACATGAGAAAAATGATGTCACATCCCACTGTATTTACCAATTTGAATGTACGTGTGGATACACACACAGGAGGGAGAACTCATCAATCTCTGTAAGTAAGGGTTGGTTTCAGAGCATATTCCTAAATGACTTCAGAAGCAAATAGAATCTCCAGAATCCATTAATGTTGAGAAAAGGAGACCTCCATTGCAAAACATATTATAGAGGGAACAGGACATAAAAATGATGTTTACAAGTCTTTTAAACCTATCCATAAAACGTGTTTGGAGTGTATCCTAAAGTTTGTGTAAGCCCTAGCTGGCAAATGGACAGTTTAAACCACCTTTATGCGTTCAAAAACAGTTCGTCATCACACTAAACCTTCCTTGGTAAACTTTGTTTTGATACCAGCCAGGGTAGATGTACAATTACCGCCGTTATTTGATTTGGTGACCTTCATTGTTTTTTTAATTGCCCTTCAATATGTCCTTTGAACTTGACCTAAATTTATTTCCTCACCTCTTAACTCTTTATTAATTTCATATATATTCCTATGACGAGTCCGTGGAGTGTGATCAGATTGTTCAAAATGTGTTGTGCAAGCAAAAATACACGTTACACGATTCAGACAAATTACGTCTTCTTATTGCTTTGTCTAAATAAAGATTATGAAAAGCATTCATTTGTAATGTTAGACGATCTCATTGGTTGGTTCAAGGTCATTCGACTGTGGTATTTATTCTTTACTCTTGTTCATAATGTTCCCAGACCGGTTAATTTTTATGTGATTCTATTGTCTGATGATTTACTACAAAACCCAATCAGCCTAGATTTTATTAATTCTTATCAATCTATTATTCGCAAAGTAATCAAAAATAAGATCCGTGAAGTCAGTGCTACCTACTATACGGATCAGAGACTTGGCGCCGCGTCACGAAGGCCACTTCAAACAAACTACACACTTTCATCAAAAGCGGTCTTCGCTCAACACTAATCAAGATCAGATGGTAAAAAGTGATCAGCAACAGGGAGGGATCTCTGGCAATGAACGAACCAACCCATCAGGAACCAATTGTGCAATTAAATATGCAGGAAAAAATGCAGGTGGATTGGCCATACTCTGAGGAAACAAACCATCAAGTGAATGACATCACACCCTAGTCTATCGCTCCAATAAAACCCGAATGGGAAGTGGCGAGTCAGTTGGTCGTCAGTGCGAGGGTGACATGGAGGAGGTCATGTGAAGAGGAGATGAAAGCATGTAGGCAGACGTGGAGTCAGGTGAAAACGTTGTCAGAGAACCGAACTCAATGGAGACGTTTGGCTGAAGCTCTATGTTCCTCTAGGAATTAAAGGAAACAATATTAATAATACAATAATCAAACATTCAACTCTCCTAGTTCTAGTTTTTAAAAAATCAGTTAGAGAAGGCATCATTTAATTTGATTAGTTGTCAAAAGTCATATAATTCCCATGGTCGCCATAATAATACCATTCAAAATTCAAAACACAAATGAAATCTGGTACAAAAAATACCAACTTAAATGAAATAAATATCTCAGCGCTGACTTACTTCAATGAACCAACCCATAAGTCATTATAATGATTCCGTGAAGATTCTGTCAATGTAATCGAGGATGAAGTTTTCTGAAAATAATTCAATGCCTTCTTTTTTGTCATCAGAACTGGAAATAAATCAATAAATTGTTTAGCATATGATCGTGAATTCGTCGATGGTAAAGACAGGCTTCCATAGTCTGAATTATCCGTATTGTTGTTAGAGTTGCTGTTGTTGTTTAACAATTGTGACGAAGTATTATCACAGGATATTGCAGTCAGTGAAGAGTAGACAACAGCATCGTCACCAGGATTATGCATATTTTGCATATTACATTTATCCATAATATAAGAAGTAGAAGAAGCTTCTATATCACAAATATTATTTGTACTCAAACTTAAAGACGTCGTATTTTTCTCTTTTGCTTTAATCACAGTAACATTGGTTATTATTTTTGATTGATTTTGATGTTTTGATGTTGAAAGACAATTAAAGCGTTTTATATTATTCACTGGTTGATGATGATCAAGCATTAAAATGATCGCAGATCAATAATAGATGTAATAGTAGTAGTGTAATATCCATGCGTAGTGTGGTGTAGATTAGACTGAATTCAATTTTTTACTTGTTGTGTTCAAAATTCAATTAAACTAACTCTGTGTGTTCATCTGTTTGTTTATTTGTTTGAATGAATGAAAATAAAAGTCACATGATTCATTGAACCATACAGTCATCATCATAATCATAATCATCATTGTTGTACCTATTGAACACAAAATTGTAAATGGCTCCTTAATAAGTCGGTCTGATCAATGAATTGTCTAAAGCAAAAATTTAACCAATCAGATAGTAGTAATAATAATAATAATGGCGAATTGACCAATCAAAATTCAACAACATTTTCACAAAATATACAAATTTTATTGATGGAAAATATGACTAGGCCATATGGAATATTCTGACACTGCGTGTGTGTTGTACACAAGAGTGTGAGAGAGAGAAAGAGTGAAAGTTGAGAGGAATTGAAATGCCAACACTAATATCAAACTAATATCAACAAGACCTACCGTAAATGCCACTCAAAGATAAGTGCATATGTGACTTTTTTCATCTCTCTCTGTGTGGCTATTGGGAAAGAGACTGTTCATGGAGGATGAGAGAAAAAAACACACAACTGCTAACATCACCTAATTGGTATACCTTTTTCTACTGAAAATTGTGTGTGTAGGATAATAACAACAGCTTTAAACCATGTTGACAAGATAAATGGGGTGCAAACAGATAGTAGATAGATAGATGCACTGGGTGGTGTAGTGACCTTTAATGCTTCTGTGATAAAGAATATACAGACAGCAAAAAAATTAATACTGGATGCTACTGATTTGTGTTTTTCATAATAGTTGGGATGATTATTCGAGCTTTCTCTTCAGCTGCGGAGTATCCTTTGAACACAAAACGAACTAATTTTATCTATCAGATGTTATAATTGAGTTTGGTTGTTTGGAGGATTTCATCATGAGCTGACATTAGTTAGAGAACCATTGGAAAACCACAGGCAGGGAGTCTGGGACTAACCCTTCATCGGTGCATCGGTGGCACAGCGGTTAGGACGCTCACCAACCATGCACATGGTCCGGGGTTCGATCCCTGGCCACAGACGCACTCCTTTACCTCACTAAGCCTGAAATAAAGCTGGTAAAGAGGAAAGGTCAGGGGGCCTGGGGTTAGCAACTCCATACTGTAAAAATAAACTCTGCTACAGAAACTTCAAGTCATTAGCTTGAAGCCCTATGTTCCACTGGGAACGTGAAGGGAAAAACCTTACAGCAGTACGCACCCACCACAGGGGGTTTTAACCCATGACCTTCCGGTTACAAAACTAGCGAGCTCGTCGACCACTGAGACACTGGGACCCGATCTAATGGCCAGCCGGCCCATGAATTCTTACTTCTGCCAATTCACTAGCGACTGGCCCTATTCAGTTGGGTAGTTACCTGAGGTTCTAGTGGGAAGACGTCACCAGTAGGCGACAGCAGGTTGAAGATGAGGCAGTAACTCATCGAAGAAGACATTACAAAATGGTCACTCTATGTCGTGAATTGGCGGAAGTTAGAATTCATGAGGTGGTTGGCCATTGGATCGTGTCCCAGTGGCTCAATGTTCTACGAGGTCGCTAGTTTTGTAACGGAAAGGTCGTGGGTTGAAACCCCCTGTGGTGGGTGCGTACTGCTGAAGAGTGGTTTCCAATGGTTCTCTAACTGATATCAGCTCATGATGAAATCCTCCAACCAATCAAACACAATCCCTACACAAAACCAATACTTGAAAATTATACAAATTAGTCACAATTCATTCAGTTTATTGTTTGAAAACACGAAGAGATTGGTATTCATTTTCAGGTTAATTTGCATTGAACAGAAATGCTGTGTCTCTGTTGTGACATGTCAGCTCCTGGAATGGATGCTGACTACTCTCCACTTTCTACAGTATTATTAAAAACGAGATATCTGGTCGATAAATAAACTACCATGAGTCACCACAGAGGAAAGAAAGCTGAAAATTATTTACAGGTCAAAATCAAAGAGACAAAAAGGTGGAAGGCGTATGAAAGATTCATATTAAGCCTATAATGGACCATTTGGTTCTGTTATGTCACTCTGATAAACAACAAAGTATCGGAAGAAGAGAGAACTTCACATGTCAGGAGCTGCTAAATGAAAAAAATTAGTAATGGTAATGAAGCAAGTTAAGATAATAATGGTTTTGACAAATTGTAGTTTTAAAAGAATTATTTAAAAGACGGTTGCAGAGAAGCTGGTGTCCCCCAAGGTGCTGTACTCTCCCCACTTCTCTTTTCTTTCTTTCTACATGACTTACCATCTTCAAATGACATTAATTTTGTCAAATATGCTGACGACCTGACAGTATCTTTGCCTGTCAAATGTCAAAGTGACTGCTCTAAACTAAATGGCTTTTTTATCAGAAATCAGCCAGTGGTCCAAGAAAAACAGGCTTACCTTAAACCCCTCTGAATGCCAAACAGTCAATTTCACCTTTAGGCATAAATCTGACCTAAACAAACTGGTTAGCACTCATGAGGTGTGCAACATAGATGGCACTGAAATAGAAACCAAGTCGGAAATTAAATATCTAGGCGTCATTCTATCTGCTGATCTTTCCTGTTCGTCTCATATCTTGGCGATTTCTAAGAAAATATTCCGTCTTACCTTCTACATCAAGAAGTTCAGACATTCTGGTATAACCCAACCCTTACTCCTACAATTCGTTAACTCTTGCATTCTGCCTATTATTCTCTATTGTTCCCCCTTAGTTTTCCCCGGGCTAATGCAGGATGTTAAAGGTTGTCAGCAGGGTAAGCAACGTGCCACTTAACCAGCTTGTTAATATTCTGGTTGACAGGCACATGGACTCATGTGAAAAATGGGCTAAATCCATTCTATCTAACTCACACCACCCTCTTCACTCACAACTCTCCCCTTGCATCTCATCAGGCAAAACCAGAAGCCTATATAGAAAACTATATGCTCGCACTAGCAAGTACAAAAACTCAACCATACCCTACTTAGCTCGTGTTCTGTGCGATAAAGAAAGCATTAGGCGTGAAACCTATAACTTATTAAATAGTCAGTAGTACAACTGGATCTCGTCTTTCCAACTCATATCATTTATAGGTACAACATTTTCTTTCTTTCTTTTCCTTTTCTCTCTCTTTTTTCTGTTATGTGCTGCTTTGTTTCTTCCTTCAGCTTACGCCAGTAAATATGATAGCACCTACTTTTCTAACACCTTCGAACACTGTTCATTTTTGGCTTTGCTACCGACATGCCAATATGTTGTTGTCATAATGAACTGAGATTTCCTTAATCTATGTAGAATTCTATTTATTGATAATGTACTAACTGGATGCAATACTGTAGTAAAAATGCTGAGAATTCCATTCTGTATCACAAGTACCGTTTTGGAATAAAGCAAATTATTATTATATTAAAAAAAGAAAATGTTCTTTTCGACGAAGTCATCAATTAAGCTGTACATTCGTGTTTTTTATTACATGTGTGAGATAGTTCCAGAATTATTTCCGGTCAGAGGTCAGAATAATAAAATTACTAAGTGTAATAAACAGAAAGATTGGGTAGCAAAGACATAATAAGATTGTAATTACTGGAAAACTAGTCAGTTTATATAATTTTAGGTTAAGAATGTAGTATTGAAGAAACGGGTAGGAGGTTCGGACATATAAAGATAAAAAACAGTAACCAAATCTAATAATGCAGATAGGGATTTAAGAACGTAAATATAACAGAAATAAACGGGAAGGTTGAACAAGAAAGGTAATAGGATAATCATTATTGGTGAGACTGACTTTTCATGATGGCCACGGTAGGGACAACGGTTGCACTGGACGTATTTCTTTTGGACACATAGAGTAGTGGGCTTGAGTTTTTGGATCGCCAGTGCTTCAGCTATTCCTAGATGTCTTGATCTCACTCCCTTTGATAGGTTGGATTGGATCTTAAATATGTCTTTGAAGGACTTTTCATATGGGGCTGAATGTCCAGAATTCACCAAATGTTCTGTTATCGAACTGTATACCCCTTTGCGTTCTCCTTTTGCTAGCCATGCTGGATAGTGTTCCCGCGCACGTTTTACAAGCGGACGCATGCTACGGCCAATGTACTCAGCTTCACATCAGCAAATGAACTTGTATATGCGTGCTGAAGTTTTAAAAGAGTCAAGAATAATATTAAGATATTGAATAAAATATTAATGATAACAGTTAATAAGTAAAAGTTGTTATCATGGAAGATTCACAGTGACCACCATTTCCTTTTGTACACAGAGGCCGAATTTATAAATCCTAATTGTACAAGCCTTTGGAAATGCAAGCATTAATATACGAGTAATACTTGGGCACTGTGTTAGTATGCACTTCCATACTAATTGGTTTATTAGATATTTCACATAGTGGCAAAGTTTCGAACACAATTTATTCATTGTTCATAATCATTTCATCAATTATCATCACACGACTTCAAGAGTTTTATAGTTTTCTTTGTTCTCTCCTATTTGTCGTTGTAGGGATAGTAGAATTTTCCAGATGTTCCAGGTGGATAGGTGTTGAATGATTCCTATTACACGTATCCTTTTCAGTTGATTTGATAAACAAAGCTTCTATTACCAAGCTCCCCTCCACCCTGCTGTTACATTAGATTAGATTTTAAAACTATCATGTTATTCCATCGCGTATTGTATGGCTGTGTGTAATTGCATATAGTGTGTACTATAGGTGAACTATTCTCCAGATTTCTTATCTTATTTGGGTCAACCAGTCTAGATTTCGCTAGGCTTTTATGCTCTGTTAGTCTGACTGACTGACCCTTTTCTACTACTTTGACCTATGTATTTGACCTGACAGTCATTGCAGGCAGGGTATCAGATAAAATAAATTGTTTTGTTGAATGGGCTTCTGCACCACATCAACTTTTTTAACCGACAAAGCTTGTTTTTATTTGAGTTTGTGTGTTTGAATGCCGGCCACTTTTATTCCTGCCTTGATAAGAATTCTGCGTAAGGTTTCC